TTGGTTTTATTTTGTGTTTTTAAGAATCCTAAAAATTCTCTAAGAAAATCTTGCTTACAGGAGTACCAGACTATGATGGAAGGAGGTGGGTATCTGAGACAATGTTGTTAGTGGTCCTCACCACTTGAAGAGCACTTGCATGACTTTACTGAGGATGGGCTTCCTGAAGTGCTGGTTGGGGCAGAGCTTGAATGGACTTCCTGAGGCACTCAGGAGAGGCCGCCCCCTGCGGTGTGGGGACAAGCACAGCCCACCACCTCTCAATGCTCAAACGTGTGCCACCGCATCATGTCACTTGGAGGACGAAGTCCCCTGACCATAGCCTGATACTGTCTTGAAGGAAGTGAGGCTTTAGGAAATGTTTTCAGGTAAGTGAAGCAGAGTGAGGGTGCTGAGGAAAATAAAAGAGCAAGAGGTTGTAGGTCCAGGGCTTGAATAAAAAGCACATGGAGTTTAAAGACCTAAATTTTTAAAAATCCAGATCTGTTTTTATGACAAGGTAATTTCTTATTTAATACAGAAGAAATGTAGTAGAGAGCCTGGAAATTTGAGAAATATATTAACAACCTCATGAGGCCATTGCAGAATGTAACTGTTCCTATACACTGAAGTAACGAGTTCACAGAATTAATTCTGGAATTGGCCATTGATAGTTTATAATCTTCTGTCATTCCCACCTCGCATAGAGTCACATTTTTATGTGACTTCACATTACATAGCTCCATACTACCCACATGTGAAAATGAAAGACTTGACTGTATTTTGCTTCAGATCACAACATCCCCAAAACATAACAGCATAACTGAGAACAGAAGTGGGAAACTTCTTTTTCACAATGGACACCAGTTCAAAGAGGAGAGAGAAATCAAGAAAGGGCACATCAAGGAAAAAAAAGTACAAGCAATGATTTTGTTATAGATAACATATTCCATTTTCATTAAATGCTAATAAAGAACAGGGAGCATGCCTCTTAAATGAAAATGACAAATAATAAAAATGTCTTGATTCAATACTACCCAGTAAAGAAGCGATGTTGGTGGAGGAGGAGGAAGAAAGGAAATCTCCCCAAAAATGGAAAAGGGAAGGACTTCACTGTTTATAGGATAATAAATTATACACAGTCCTGGGGTCAAAGGTCAGCAGGAAGGGCTTTAAAAGCAATTTTATTGGGCAGTTACACATTATAACACTAACATAGGTGGGTGTTGGCAGGAACTAAAAAGAGCTTTGAGGGATTATGGAGAAAAATCTTAATTATTTTCTGACGGTTGCATGAAAAGTATTTTTGGCACTGCATTGGGATTTAACCAGTAAACTAGGCTTCAATTCAATACTGTCTTATTGCTCATGTGGGCAACTTGAAAAATATTCACACTTTCAGTGTAGGCAGCTGTGCTGTTTCTTGAATAAAAACTCCACTAGCTATTGTTACATTCATTCATCCACTTGCTCCTCACCCGCACGTGTAAGTTACTGGGGACAGGGCAGGAGAGTGTAACAACGGAATTGACGCGCGATCTGGTATCCCTTCCAGCTTTAACTCTGCTGCTTCTGCTGACAGGATCTTGTGTCAGTGACTTCACGTCTCCAACCCTTACTCACCTCTTCTGAAAACAGAGACCATAATAATACCTCCTCAATAGGTAGTAAGAGATAATACGAAGCGCTCAGTTACGGCCTGGCTTTGAGGGAGTGGGAAGGTCCTCTGCTGCAGTTAATCAGACGTACTCCTACTACTGGTGTAGAGATGATCTCCTCAGGCCTTCCAAGGCTGTAGAAACAAACCAGGCGACATTTCCTTACTTTTCACCCTAATGATCACTGCCTGCAAAATCCTAGATCTGAGCTTTTAAAGAGGCCTTGAATCAGCTGTTTCTGAGAATCCCCAAAAGGTGTGTCAGACGTGGACCCTTGTTTGGACAGGCACCAACGCCCCTGCACCAGTAATGCTGCTGCACCCAGCATCCTGGTCTCTGACAGCAAGTATGGTCTCGGCCTGCAGGGGCCACCGCTGACCTTCTAGGTGCTACTGTAATGTGGTATCACCTGTCATGGATGGGATGCTCATCAGTCCAAAGACTGTCTGACTGTCTGACTGCCTGAGGCAGAAGTGCCCCACACCCTCATAGTTCCACTGCCATCAGACACAATGGGGACTAAACTGGGAAATACATTTGAGTGACAGACACTAGGATGCATTTGAAATAGGACTTCTCTTTTCCTATGTCCACAGGGCTCACTGTGCCCCTTACATCTAGATGATTCTTCCTGTAATTAGTCTTAGCCACCCATGTTCCCCGTTTCACCTTGCCAGATACACCTGAAGCTCACTTACATGAAACTTGGGACTCTCACTCATGGAAGAGTCCAGTGAAACAGACAGACATCTGAGCAAGTGATTAAAGTATGTCTTAGGCAAATGCCATCACATGGGCATATACCAAGTGTAAGTGTAAGGAGGGCATATGCCAAAGAAGGAAATAGCCAGTTCATCAAACTTTATAAAGAGGTAGTATTTACTCTCGATTTTGAAGGATTGGGAAGAGAAAACTCCAAGAATGAAATGCTTGCTTCAATCCACAGAGATGTGAAAGGATATCTGGTATGCTTGGATTGAAAATGTGTTAGAGAGTCGAAAGAGGTAAGTCTACAGTTGCAGCGAAAGTTCATACTGTGAGGCGGTTTCTAAGCAAGGAATTGCATTATCGATTTATTTAAATAATAATCAGCTGAATAGGAAATGAATCACTGAGGGAGGTGGCAGGTAGATGGATTAGGAGTCTATTACAAAAATCTACAGGGGGAAAATTAGGGCCTGAGTGCAACAGGAATGGTGGCAGAAAGAAGATACTGATCCAAGAATTACAGGAGGAACACACTGCAAGTTAATCAGTATTCTACCTCTGCATATATTTTTAGATCAATGTATTTGTGGAAAGTCACAAATTATGGCAATTTAAAGTCCAAATAGAAATGTAGCATTAGTTACAACTCAAATGGTAGAGAACTGTTGAGTTTGATAAAAATAACTGTTCATTAATCCCATGTTTGGCAGTTGGATGTAACTCAGAAATAATTTTTCCATATTTTACATGCATTTTTAAAATGTGTTTCATTGGTCCTGTAATATACACCTGTGCTTAGTGACATACACAATCATGAAGTCCACATTGAAAGAATCATCTTCATAGGCTACTGCCAGGTTATGCAATATATCAGAATAAACATGTTTAAAACTTGAGTTACCATAATTATGGAAAATGTTATGCAAAATATGCATCTTCCATCTGATTGCTAAAAATTATGCCTTAGAGACTTATAGTATGTTCTTCATACTACATTTTGGAGACCTTCCTTTTGAAGAGAGAATGAGAATTTCAGCAAGATGGTAACACAGTCGACTGGCTTGCTACAACCTTATAATTGCACGCTTGGTTGAGCAGGATTGAACACAGAAGGCGATTTAGGAGTAATCCCATGATAGTAGCTCACTGTTTCCTGTAGTATATTCAAAAGAAATAATATGAGAATACTATTTTGAAATACCTCAAATAGATAAATTACTTCAAGTATCATTATAGGTGATATTCTGGGTTTTTCACAATTGTTGGCATTAATTAGATGTAGATGTAATTTGGCTTACAAAGGTTAACCTCTTCAGCGTCACTCCACGACCACACCTTTTCTCCGATCTCCTACCTGCCCTTTACCCCTGGCTCCATACTCATATCACTCTACTCTTCAGCCAGAGTTCTTTCCACCCCCCTTTTGCCTTCATAGCTGAAGTTCTTCTGCATGAAATACTCTCTTCCTTATCCCTTTTCATCTAGCGAGTTGCTGCTTACCCTGTGGGTCTCTGTGTAAATCACTCTGTTAAATCAGGTTCCTTAAAGCAGATTCTTGTTCAAGAGATTTACTGGAGAAGTGCTGTCGGGTAAACGGGAGTGAGGGATACACAGCAGAGCTAGAGACAAAAGCGAATCAAGAATGGGTCTCGGCTGGAGTCTAGCTTCCTCTGATCTCACTGAGGCACAAAATGCAGCACGGAGTTGACACCACCCGGATGCAGTGATGTTGTTTCCTCTTTGCCTGCGTGGCTGGAGCCTGGGGAGAGGGTTTAAGGAGCAGTGCATGGACCCTGAGCCAGGTAGCAGTTTTGTGGAGAAGGTACCAGCTGTGAGTGTTGGTCCACCAACATCTTCAGCAGTGGGGAGTTGGGTGTGCAGCAGGTCAGAGGGAGGGAGGGCGG